TTCATCTGCTAAATCCCTTACCAGGCTCGGCTGCATGTCCCTTCTTCCCTTGACCCATCATCCCAGCTGTGTTATCTTCAGATCCACCGGATCCACGACGTAATCATTATGGTCACCCTATTATGGGTACACTCATCCGGATCCAGGTCGCTTGGATCCACCTCACTGTAATTGTACACTCGCCGTGGATCCGAGCTCTCCAATCATCCAACATCATCTTGCAACCTTCTGTGATCTCCTTGGTCCCACGAAAGTTCGAGATCCACTGCATCCATCATCCCTATACCCTGGATCCAGGTCCCTCAAGGCGGGATCCTTCCTCCATGGATCCGAACTCGGAGGTATGGGATCCGGGGTACCTCGCGGTGGATCTCGACTCCTCGTTAGCCGTGGCTATTAGATCCACCTTCGGATGACACCTACCACCATTCCTTCATAGGATCCACACTCGATCCACTGGTACATAGTGTATCCCATATCCACCTAAGTGAATCCCGGTAAGGGTGGATCCGAGATAAGTCTTGGTGGATCTTGTCTTCTCGTACATCGCTCATACCAGATCCATCGTCATTTCATACGGGGTGCCGCTCGTCATGGCTAATCCACCACAGGCAACTTGCATCCGTGCCACCAACCCAAATCCTCTCTAATCACTTGAAATTGTCACTGATTCGGGATAGTGACCCCGCGTCAGGCCCATTCTCTTATTTCTGAGAAAGCACTTCACCACATTGTCTTGAACTGACTGCAACGACGCTATCCCACGGCTGAAGGCTTCATCAAGCTTCGCCATTTCTGTCATGCTCCAACGTGGCCGAATACTCGAAGCCGGCATTTTTTCAAACTGGTGAATTTGCGCGGCGATATACATCAGATGCTGGCAAGGTAGATGGTAGGTGCAATAAAATAGGCAGGAACAGCTCCACTCGAAGTCGTTACACTGGAAAATGCTTCCTTGCGTGCTTGACTCCCATTGACCCACGTCACTTAGTCGTTTGGCAAATGTGTTCTGAGCCAAAATCACCATGAAATAATCCCACTGGTCCCGCACTTTCGCTAGAGTGTCGTCGTTCATGTGTTTCGCCAAAAGAGAAAGAAACGTGGGGACCCGAACTGGTTGGCGATTAGTAGTCGAGTGCTTGCGCATGGCAGCGATCTGCTGTCGAATAACCGTTGACTGGTGTGCCAATACACCACTAATCGTGAAGTCAATTCGCGGTTTCTTCCCAAGGAGCAGCTTTAGCTGATTCCAATTAGGCTCGATGCGGTTGGTCGTCGTATTACCAACAGTGAAGCATTTTCCTCGAGCGTGGTTTGCCCACATGGAACTACATGGTTTCCAGTTTCTTTGAAAATACTCCAGCAGCTTGAGGCACGCTTCTTCACACCTCCGGGTAAACACGTCTACTTCAGCGTCAAACCTAGACTGTGAGTTGCTGGAGACATAGGTAATAAATAAAATAAGCAACACAGAAAGCAACACAACATTAAAAATTCTTACCAATAAATCAATTTCGCAAAGGCAGTCTCCATCGCATCTCTTTGAGCCATCTTCAGATCATATTTGGGACGTCGGCAGACCTTCCGCCAATACGGCAACGCGTGAAATTGACACAGAAGTATCTTAGCGTTCGGGAAAGCTTTCTCAAGAACCCGCCATTCGACAAAGTCCTTATCGATGACGACACTTTGAACACTGCGCCAAGTCGGGTTTTTCTGCTTGAAAAATTCGATGATGTACTTCATCGTAGCTGCCTTCTGATCAAGAGCAAGGAAATCAATAACTGGAATTCCTCTTCCCGTTGCTGATGTTGCAACAAGACTGCCTATAGAACGGTGACACATTTAGTTAATTTTTTTAATGTTTTTTTCATCAGAACTACAAACAACTGAGTTGGACATACCTAAATGGTACCCCAGATTGTTGGTTCCATGTGTCCAGTCCATGACCAAGCTGTCTCCCCAGGTCTCGAAGCATGTCTTCTGAATTGACGATTGCATCGCAATGATGCAAGTAATATCAAGCTGATCCTGGACGAGAAGTACATCATTACCACTATCCTTGTCGGCAAAATTGCCCAGGGAAACCTTGGATCTCTCAGTACTCGACTCGCCGAGCACTTGTCGCACAAGATTTCTTGTCAGCTGAGGCGTCAGCACCATATCTGTATCCGAAATCATATCAAAATTATCATTAAATTGAAAAAATACGTCAGAATAAATATACAACTGCAAGTGGCCTAATAGTAGCACCCACCTAGCTTGTCCGACAAGTATCGATTAATGTCAGCCGTGCGCGTCTTCTTCTCGGTCAAAAGACCAAGTTCTTGGCGGACTTGCGGGGTGAGTGGCATTGACTTCGCCCCACGATACGAGTCGTAGGTTGTTTTATTGGTCTTGTGGTTGTGTAGCGATATCTGTGAATCAATCAGATATTAATATCTCTTTCTAACAGGGTACTTAAACAGAGACTCACCTCCGTTCCTGGTGCAACGATCACTTGCCATGTGGCTTGACCATCCACGACGACACGCTCAGAGCGAACGAGGAAACCTGCTTCACAACCGGTAAAGCGTAAATCGTAGTCACGGCGGCCTTTGCCGCGGGATTCTTGTGACGATCCGTGAGTGCACCACATCCGCTAAAAACTGTGCGTCATCTTTAATGGAAGCTGTGTAATTCCATGTCGGCTACAATAAATCATACACCCATACATAATGTAAGAAAACACAAATATAATCAAACAATGAGTTCATGTACCTGTTGTACTTGGCCCGGGTTTCCGAGCTTCTAACCCGGTAACACAAGTAGTTCTTCGCCGCGTAATCGGCCAGTATGTCATTGAACTCACTCCAGTCTTTAAATGCTTTCTTCGGGAGCTCCGGCACATAATTTGTCGCTGATGTGTGGGATTTCTTCATGGTTTCCCGAATTTGCCAAGTTTTCGTTCGACGTATAGGCTTGCGAGCTGTGTGGACTTGCGCAATTGGCTTGGGAACGGGATCTGTGCTTTTACGAGTCTTCTTAGCTGTCGGGTCTGTACTCATTTCTGGCTCGTCGATCTGGGAATGAACCCGTTTTTTTGTGTGCTTTCTTTCAGATCCCGAGCCTTTAACAATAAAGCAAAAATATTTGTAGCAACATATGAAGCAACACATAAGCAACATAGTCAGCAACATAACCAACAACATACGCAGCAACTTAACAAGCAACACAAATGTAAACGTACACAAAGTGAGTTCCTGATTGGTTTCATTGAGGTTGACTTTGTGTAGTACGGACCCGCCGGCGTCACGAATCGCAGTATTGGCATCCGCTGTGCCATTTTCGACAGTGATTTCCGTGGCACCATCGATTGCCTTAATGTGCCCCTGTCCAGATACCGGCTTCATGTCGTCTTCAGCAGCTGTATGACTGCTCGCAACCTCTTTCTCGGCCTCCTTTCGCGCAGCTTTCTCGGCCTCCTCTCGAGCAGCTTTCTCGGCCTCCTCTCGAGCAGCTTTCTCGGCCTCCTCTCGAGCAGCTTTCTCGGCCTCCTCTCGAGCAGCTTTCTCGGCCTCCTCTCGCGCAGCTTGCACAAAGCGTAGAATGGATGCCTCAAAACCTAGTAATTTAGAGCAGTGACAATTAGTATTTTCAGGTAACGTAACTGACTTGGCGTACCCGTCACATGTTGTTCGCCATCGCACTTCCTTTTGTCGTCGAAGTCCTCTCCATCGTTGGCTTCCTTGGCATTGTCCGTATTGTCTTTGAGCCTGTCGATGCTGGTTTCTGCGTGACGTCCTTGATCGACGGTCCGAATAGTACTGGGGATATCTTCGAGAGCATCGTCCCGTCCGTCGGCAGGATCGCGCTCCGGGTCATAATCCTCATCATTGTCATCGTCCACTGCAAAGCCTTGGACAGCAAACACGTAGTCGATGGGTTTACGCTCGCGTAGGGTAGCATTTGGCGCTTGTGTGCTCGTGTCGAACGGCCCAGAGGACGCATCTTGCGCTTAATGCAGCGCAAAAACAAAAGAAACAAAGCGGGTAAGCAGACACGATACACTACGTCACATGGCAACAGCTTACCCGACGTGTTCTGCCCGGGCGCTCTTGCAGGCTTGGTTACCATTGGTCCAGGAGAAGAGTACGTAGCTGCATCAGCAGCTAAAAGTGACATCAGCGTTGTGTTGGTAAATCGATTTAGAAACTTAATACAAACGCGACTTACCAGGTGCGTCAATTCTCAGCGAGCTCGCGCGTGGTGGCTTCGACGGTCTCCCCTTCCTTCGTCACGTCCTTCCCTCCCTTAGCTCTCGTCGCTGAGCTTAAGGGGCGCGCGTTTGCCTGCCAACCCTTCTTCGCTGGTGTCATACTTGCTGGAGGCTGGTTTCTCGTGTCTGTATTCAAAATACAAAAATGGGAGGCTGGAAATGATTTGGGGGATCGTACTTAAGTGCGAAAACTGGATCTTGCGAATTTTCAATTTAGTCGGAAATTTTCAGAAAACGTAGATAAATTACGTAGCAACACAACAACCGATTGTGTTGCTCTCAACCTGATGTCGTGACGTTGTAGTTGTGTTGTAGGAACGACTCCGGTTGCGGTCTACAAAAAGGCGCTTGAAGTTTGTATTGTGTGAGACAATGGGTACAAAGAGAAGGATTGGAGCGATTGAGAATTTGCATTTGAGAATTTGCTGCTAATATACCCAGTGCCTAAAGGTGGCTTTTGCCGCCCAGTGTGTGTCTGTTCTTCCTACTTTGCGTGTGCGTCTAGGAGGGATTTTCAGTTCCCAACTGTGACTATAGTAACAGCTCTCGATTTTTTTTATCCCGATTTTGGTCGGTTGGGCGGCGACTTCAGTCATCGCTCTGTATCGGATATACATGTACAGTACAGTATCGCGATGTGGTGTTGTTCGCTAAGGATCTCTAAAGGTTTGGATAAGATAGTAAGTAACTCTATCTACATTTAAAACGAGGCCCAGTCCCGGAATGTACAGAAGATATTGAATTCTATTGACAAAAGTGAGGTATATTTTCAAACTTATTACTGTAGACTGTGCATGTGCTTACATGAAGATATACGTGGGTTCGCTTCCTCCCTCAATAGCCGTTGCTCATATGACGCTGCCATAGCGCAGCACCTCGAGCTTCTGCTTGTATCGACGCCACAGGAAGAATCCTCCTGCAGCCTCAAGGACGCCGACAATGATTAGCACGATGAGGCCCGGCAGGAACGTCTTGACGAGAGTGAGCGTGCTCTTGAACGTGTCCAGCACGCTGTCCTTGGCTTCGCCTGCCTCCTCCACCCAGTACGTGGGTAGAACCACTTCCGTCGGCAGCGTCGGCCACACCAAGTCGCTCATGGACGCGTTGGGCACGACACTCGAGGCAGCCACAGCGTACGAGATCTGAGACCGCTTCCGAGCGCTCATTGTCTGTCCCGTGCCCGACTCTATGTCGACGAATGTGCCGTACGCACTGTGTAAGCTCTCAACGAGACTTCCGTCCGACTCGTACATGTAGTCAGCCGTCACCACCGTGCCGTTGGTGTTGGTCATCTCCACAGCATCAAGCAGTGATGTGTTGCTGAAGATGAAGAACGGGCCAGACATGTAAGTCAAGAAACCCGTGACGAAGCTCAACTGATGCAACCCATCAACGGGGACACCCGTGCCAAGTTTGGCGTTCTCGTCTGTGTAATTGAAGGTGTCGCTCGGTGTGCCGAAGCGATGCAGCGACACGCCGTTGAAGTCGACTTCCGTGTCCATACTCGAGATGGTGGTGTAGACCTTGATAGACCCCGTGTACGAGTTGAAGGAGTCGGCGGTAGTGTGTTTAGCCATGCCGCTGATGGTGACCCCTCCAGGTTTGAGTGCCGCACCGTCGGTACCCGATACTTCAAAGCACGTAACGTTGGCGACAGGAGACGCACAGTTGGCGTAACTGGAGAACGCAGTGAGCTCAGCCAGCGTCGGGTTACGCCGTTCGCCCAGATCCACCCACACAGGTGCGACGGTGAGGCCGTTGTACTCCACGTACGTCCCGATCTTGGTCGGATCGTCACATCCTGTACGTTTGACGTAGTCTAGGAGTGACGATGCGTCGGGTGCAGCTTGCGAGTAGTCTAAGCCGGAGCTCTCAGCGACACCTGGCAGAGGAGCAGCACAGAGCCCCACCTTTTCACACAAATTGCACGTGGTACCAACAAAACTGGCAGCTTCCGTCTCACCGTACTCAGCAGCATAGATGGATTCGATGATACTACAAGTGACGGTGTTCACCGCCATAAGAGCAGCACCCTTCGTACATTGGGAGCAGGCAGCTGAAATGGACAAACACTCGTCTCCACTGCAAGACGCGCACTGGGCGTTCATGGTGGGCACGCATGTGTTGAGGTAGTTGGAGCCCAGAATGAGACCGGCCAACATACTTGGATAGCCCAAGGCCCACTGCGACGCTGTGCGCTTGACGAAGAGGCCACTGTAAACGAACCCGGAGAGATCCAGGCCGGCGATGGCCTCCGGGCCGGCGGCTAGGAAGGTCAGCACGGTGTTGTTGTTGGTCACCGTCTTCATGGCTGCGGGGTCCAACGAATTGAGGCCGTTCATCCACCGCATTATCTGCTCGCCGTACTCACTGATGATCTCTTGGATCTCACTCAAGGTTGAATTTGAGGCGAAGGACTGAGCAGCAATACTAGCCAGCAGATTAAACTCGCCGCCGGTGGCCGCAATGATGCTGAAGTAACCGGTGTCGAAGCTCACGATTTCATCTGTATCGGAGCAACCGTCGCAACTCTTGTCGGGCTCGTACGTGTGGTATGTGTATGTCTTGTAGGTGACGGTGGAGGCGTCGTCCGATAGAGTCACGTCCAGCTTGATCTCGCGGCGGCGGTAGACGTAGGGTCCCATCTCTTGGACTTTCAGTTTGGCGTTCGTGGCGAGATATTCGTCGGCGTTGGTGGCATTAAGCATGTACACGGACACGTAGTAGGGCGAGCAGTCATCGCAATCTCCGTACGGGTCCAGATAGCTCTCCTTTGCCACCTCCGAGTCGGAACAATGCACAACTTCGTCCTTCACGGCCTTGTTGACGTACGCGGGCAAAGCGGTGCCGTACAAGATGCCTAAAATGGCAGTCAGAGAGCCCACAACCATGAGCGTGATGGCCCAGACCTTCTGGCTACAGCACCACCGGCGTTTGGGCTCGACGTCTTCGCCCTTGGGGACCACATTGGGCGATGGTTTTTCGAACTGCTCAAAAGCAGTATTGGTTTGCGCCCTCGGAGTCTCCGTCGCCATGGTTAAGGGTGGTCTTGGAAGGCTTCGGCGGGAGGCGGTAGATTTGCAAGTGAGGATTCTATTCGAGCATGACCAGCGAGTTGACAATGCGTCGAAGGGTGCAGGGGTAGAAGTCGGTCGTGTTGAGGAGTCTGTATGCTGTGGTACTGTCGAAGATGACGAGAGTCATCGAAATCTCGGGTCATCAATGGACATGGAGCAGACCCATCACGGAGATGCGTCACTGTAGTGACCACCGACGGTGGTCCACCGTTCGATTGTATGGATTTAGAAGTTGATACCACTTTAGAGATATTGAGCTCGAAGCAAGGCGTCTTATGAGAATTGGCGTGTGTAGTCGAGAAGAGGAGCCCAGTAGTGCAACGGTTCTTCTCTCTTGTGCAATGGACGACTTCAGTGGTATGCGGTCGGAAATTTAGTCACGAAAGGAGCCGCTGCAGGCGCAGAAGTCGACACTCGCGGCGTGCGTATCACTCTAGCTGTTGCACCGATCGCACTCACAGTGGTATAGCACTCTAGTTGCTGCACCGATCGCACCCACAGTGGTAATGCTGCCGAAGATCAATACATGTCGAGAGAGTGTTAAGTCTAGTTAACGATAGTGATCGTGTCGTAGCTTCTTACTTCAAGCATTCAAAATGCACCTCACCCCACTCACCAAGAAATTTCTTAAATATCGGAAATTCAAGAAAGAGAACCCTTCCACATATTTCCTTATGTGCCCACCTCCGACCAAAAATCTAGGCTCTGACTAAATTAAATGTAAACTTTACGAAAGCTCATTTCAAGCCAGAAGCAGCAGCTCGACGAAATCATCCCCAGAGTGTTTAGCCGCGGCAGGAAATGATGCTCCATTAATAAGAAAAGTAGCTGGAGAAGTCGTGGGCCACTCGTGAATAGGCCTAGTTTCATAAGAAACAAGGCGTTTCTTACTTGACCACCTACGTTTTGGGACATATAAATAGCTCAGTCATTTTTGCGAGTTAAAAGGGCATCTCCCGTATCCTATCGATATATTTCGATGTTATTTTCATGCTTGTTTATCCGCAAAAAGTCGCTTATTTTTTAACTTAGTAAGGGACCAAAACGGCATACCGGTATCTGGTCGGAGCTCCTCAAAGGTCTATGGGATAAAAACAGAATGTGAAAGGCAATTTAAAGTTTAATTATTACTAAATAATTTGCTTTTTATTTTATAAATATATTTCTAAAACAATAAATAAAATTTTAAACAATGAATTCAAAAAAGTATAAATGAAATATTTAATTCTAAGCTCTAATCATATTTCTGATTAAATTATTTGAAATATTTATGGAAAAACTACTGCCCACTGGACTCTGTTGGTAAGTTGGATACAGCAATCGCAGTGATTTTGCTGATCCCGCTACACAATATAATTGCTGAGGCCCTAGTCCTGGTCAAGCATCCTGAGTACCTTGTGCTGCAGCGAATATCGCTGTAAATCAGAGAGTGATACACCGACGGCGCCACCGCAGTACTTCGGTCAGCCGGGATGGCGCCGTCGCCTGGTGTGGGATCGTCGTCTATCGAGGCCCTGACAGCGAGTTTGTGAGCTGGCATGTGCCGCGGCCCAGTCCCGATGCGAGCGGACTCGAGTTCATCGACGGCGTCAGGGGCGGGCGACGGCGCGCGCACGATTCTTTTCGTCACTCAGCCTCTTTTTGATCTTCGACTGAGACTCGTCAAGCTTCTCGAGTCTCCCAGCAAGCCCACGCTTGACCTCCAGTACATATGATGCTTGGTCATTACTGATGCCTTGGGTCTGGCCGACAGTATCGGCACCGTCACCCATTTCGCCAGTGACGATGGTACAATTATCTTCTGTGTACCGATCCTTTCGCGACCGGTAGCGAATGCTGGCGCTCGTGCGTCGTCGCGAACGACTTCATCAACGTTCATTGGCGTTCAAAGTGCTTGACGCTCGGGTCGGCACTTTTGTTGACTACGTAATGTGGTTTACAACACAAAAGAGAGAGAGAGTAGGATTATGTCTTACCCTCCCCTATCTTTCCTGCCATCCCCGTGAAGAGCTACCAGCTCACGTTTTCCACCTTGTGTGCACTACATTCCAGGTCCAAGGTTCGGCAGCAGCACCTGCTCGTCGCTTCCTCGTCGTGCACTACCTCGTGCTCGCGAACGTCTTCTAACAAAATGGACAGCGCTGTGTGAAGACTTCGAAACAAATGATAAAGCCCTTCTTTCCCTCCTTTACCTTAGACCTGATCAAAAATACCAAACAATGCACAGCCACGCTTCCTCAGGAAGCCCCTGATACCGAAAAAAACACTTAGAGCCACACCGACTAGCGGCGGGGCCCGCCGGCGATCCGTGATCTGCTGAGCTTTACTCACCTTGTGTACCCGTCGGTAGGACGGGACCTTGCTCTCTTTGATGGTTCCAATAAGCTCAAGTGGTGAAGTTTGGGTGCCTTTGCGAGATGTATGGATAGGGTGGAGCAGTAGTGGTATTATCTTCCCTTTGCGTCCACTATTGTTTCCAGATCCCAAGCGAGTATTTAAGCTTGGTATATCCGGGTTCTAGATCCGTGACCTGGTCGTAGGGCTGCCTTGCGGGTGTGTTCTCTCGCTTTTGATTCCTTTTCGACGTACTCACCACTTCATATAGCGAGATTTTAAGCGTCGGGAGCCATCCGACTAAGTAGTAAATGTGGTTAACCTTGTAGAAATGCACGTGTATAAGCAAAGCTCACTAGGTGGTAGGATATGGCCACTGTATTTTCCAGCTACCACTACCAACACTAGATCTGCTGTTCCCAACTTTCACCGAGCTTGCACGGCTAATGTAGCTCCGATTCTTGAGAGCAGAAAGGCACTTGGGTAGCACAAAGGAAATTGAGGTCTGATTTAAAGCTACCCCCCCCCAGCCTGGATATATATCCCCTCTGTCCTTTACTCACTAAATCCTCTGCCAATCCTGGCTACTTGTCTTTTCCCCCCTTGCCCCATCCCACCAGCTGTATCAGTGCCAGATATCTTGGACCCGGAGCGTAATCATCGTAATGTCGTAGGATTATGGGTATACTAGCTTAAATCCATATATATTAGTCCACCTTACTGCCGGTGTACGTTGTCGTCCAAACTCAGTGGAACCGATCCATCCAGTCATCCAACACCATGTGTTGAGTGTTTGCATTCTCCATCGCCCCACGGAAGTTCAAGATCCATTGTATCCACCACCCTTTTACTACAAATCCCAGTCACCTAGAATGGGATCCTCGATTCACTAGATCCGGACATGGGACTATTGGACCTAGACTACGTAGTGGTGGATCTTGTCTTCCTGCCAGCCATCTATGCCCGATCCACCTTCAGATGGTGTCTATATCCCTTCCTCCTTTGGATTCCCACTCGATCCACACGTACAGGGTGGCCCCAATCACCTCTAGGGTGGTTATGGGCTTCTACCTGGTGAATCTTAGTCGCACTGCTACAACTCATGTCGCTTCTGCCATTATTCCCTCTCCTAGCCCCCGACACCCCAAGATCCATCATCCATAGTCCCCTACCGAATTATCGTAGTCCTAGGCGTCACTTCAATAGCAAAGGATGCAAATCGTGAGCACCGACATATGAGTGCAAATCATAGTTTTACCGAAGCATTCACTGCAAATTACTGTATTTAGCATTCGCTACCGCTATCACTACCGGTACCAGCTTCAGACTCTATATCATCGTCAGAGTCGACATGACCATCAGTTAAATTGCATTTTTCCAGCTCTTGGACAAGCTCGCTATCAATATGTCCCGGATATGGGTCAAAATCTTGCTCAGCACGGCGAGTATCAGCCAATATGCCTACTTTTGCAAATCCACTAACAATTGTCTTTTCTGAAAGCTCGTTCCAGCATTTTGATATCCACTCCGTAATGTCTTCTCTTTTTGGGGGCTCCAATTTAAAGGGCTCTTCTGTATGCTGTTTCCGAAGTCGCTCAACTTCAGACTCTGCTTCCTCTTGCACTAGATCCTTGCGCACACGAATAATATCTCTCTGGAGTTTGTCCCTTTTCTCCTGGCGCTGCTTCTCCTTGGCTCGATACGCAACAAGTTGGTCTCTCAGCCGGTTGATCCACAGACCTCGCAACCTAGTTTTTAGGGGGTTATTCCACGAAATATCTGCCGGTTGGCATACGTACGTGTAACGCGGCGGTACTTTAAGTAGGATAACGTTAATAGACGCTGCATATTCTTCAACTTCAGGGGTCCAATGCTTGCTGAAATCGTCCCATATGAGTAAAATGTGGTCATCTCGGTTCGTGCGCTCAGCAAAGTGATATTTGAGAAATCTCAGAGACAAATCAGAATTCCACCATGCGCACTGGTTCCCGTAAATTTGACAATTGTAGCGCTCTTGAAGTGGATTAATTTCACGGGTCCACATAGTCGGGCTAAACCCATGGCGCAGAGTGTGGTTCTCTTCCCTTTTTTCCTTAATTTTTGACGGTTGACACTTGAACACTATGAATGGAGCCAATTTTGTGCCTTCCCAGTCCGCCAAAAGCATAGCTGTAGCTCGAGCCTTCTCTTTATTTGCACATTTTACCCAAACAGTTTTCACTCCACGTTGAGATATGGTTTGTTTTGGTAAATACTCAAAATTCACACCTACAAGAAGAAAAGTCATTACAAATATTTTAAAACTAAAATAAAAAAAAATATTACCCGTCTGATCAGCATTGTATACTTGTACACACTTCTTTTCGACGATTGTCGGCAGCACCAGCGCTCGAAATGTCGTAGCTGCATCTTGAGCATCCTGTGGCGTCGTCTGTCCCTGCCTGGTACGTGCACGGAGCGCTAATTTATGGCGACGAAGAAATAGCTTAACCCATGTTGATGTGGCTGCAAATTTGCCTTCAAGGCCAATGTCTGCAGCTGCTTCTTTTGCCTGCAGTTGAAGCATGAGACGGGAGACAGGGGCACCATCTTTCCGCAGCGAATTCACCCACACTACGATAGCGCGTTCAGCCTCCTTGGTGAGCACAGTCGCTTCACCAAGT